TTAACCAAATAACAGTACCACCCCTATGTTTTCAAACCAAAACATAAGCAACCATATAACTAGACTGAAGTGTTCAACCAAACAGACAAACATCAGTTGCTAAGTAGCAACTAGATTAACAATACTTCAGCACAGTTCAGAAGGTAATCAGAAACCAAATGACCCATTTGAAAACATAAACTCATTACAACAATGGTAACAACCTAACGAGGAATTTGGTTGAACCGATCAGAACGTCAAACTAACTAAACTCGTAGTAACTAAGACAAACAGATAATTAAGATCAAACAAACATCAATTAACCGATATTAACTAAAACTTTAAACAACGAGAATCGATTCGAGCCAGTGTTCTATTGAAACTAAACTAGAACAACTATCCTAATTTAACTAAATCAAAAGCATGAATAACATGCTTAGGAAAAAGCATAGACATAGAACACAAATTAAAACCTAAACCTAATCGCTAAAGAAAACAGAAACTACAACTAACAGATTTTAACTTAAATAAGAAACTACAATCAAATATATTAAAACAAAAAATCGAAAATATAGAGGAGAAGATTAGTGTTTTACCTAAATGCTTAGGCTTCGAACCAGTAGTGTGACACAAATAGACGGTGAATTGATCTCCACGCCTCTTTTTCTCGATGACAAATGCCGAACAACACAAAATCCAACGAACCAGGTTGAGTTCGGCACTGTGTCAAAGAGAAAGAGAGATGAAGAGGTCGTGTTCATGTTGAACGGAGGCTTGGCGGAGGCAGAAACGGCGGCAGTAGGGTGGTCGATAGTGGCTGGCGGAAACTCGCCGGATTTTGGAGAGGTTTTGAAGGTTTTGGGGCATGGAATGGAGAAGAGGAGAGTGAGATGAATAGGGGGTGAAATTTTGGTGGTGTTTGGACGACGACGAGCGGCGGCGACATTGGTGACGGCGCGATTAGGGTTTGCTTTTATTGATTAATGGTGGATTTGGGGGATTTGGGTTGTGGATTTGGAATGAGGGGAGTGAGAGGAAGAGAGGGTTAAATTTTGGGGTGGTTTGGACGATGGCTGCCGCCGGTGGCAAATTCCGGCGGGCGGCGCTGGGCGGCGACGGGAGGAGCTGGCAGAGAGGGGGAGAGAGTGATAAGAGAGAAGAAGAAGAAAAGAATTATAGGTGGAAATGGGGACAATTTCTAGATTTTGGAGGCTTTAAATACCTAGGCCAAGAGTGAATGAGATCCATTGGATCAAGATGGAATGGATGGGTAAGATTTGATCTTGTTTCATTTAGTGAAACGGCGTAGTTTTATTATGAAACTACGTCGTTTTGATCCTGGTCTTGGCAAATCATCAATTGGTCTGGGTCGGCCGAATTGGGCTAAAAAATTGGGCCTGATTTGTGCATAACTCAACTGAAAATGGCATTAATCCAAACCTTAAAAACCCCTTATTAATCCAATCCTAGAGTCAATAAACACACACAATAAACCTATAAAAATATAATGTAGGAGAAATAGAAAGAGCAAAAATTAGATATTTACATTGGCGTGCTCCACTTGGTCTGGAGCTGCTTTTGATTTTGGTACGATACGTTTGTGTGTATATATATATATATATATATATATATATATATAGCGCGGTTAAATACTACGTCTTGTGTGTTGTCTTGTCGATCTGAAAAGCTACCCGACTGCAAAAAAGTTGTTTCGTATTAGAAAGAACGCCAAGCAAAGCACGGTTAAATACTACGTTTTGTGTGAATATACATAGCGCGGTTAAATACAACGTTTTGTGTGTTGTCATGTTGATCTGAAAAGCTGCCCGACTGCGAAAAAGCCGTTTCGTATCAGAAAGAATCCTTAACACGCCAAGCATAGCGCGGTTAAATACTACGTTTTGTGTGAATATATATATATATATATATAGCATGGAAAAATACTGTGTTTTGTGTGTTGTCTTGCNGAGCTGCTTTTGATTTTGGTACGATACGTTTGTGTGTATATATATATATATATATATATATATATATATATATATATATATATATGGCTCAGTCCCGTCTTTGTACAGTTATGTTTCCATTAGAGGTCTGTAGACAGTATGTCTAGTTGGGTTGTATGTGGCCTTGTCGGCTTTCAGTTTTGGGTGTATAGTTGTCTATAGCAGCCTTGCCGGCTCGCCCACTGTATTCTGCATGAATACGTACATATGCCTTGTTGGCAGGTTTCCTTCAAGTATGTTATTTTCGTAATTCAGCAGATGTTATTCAGGTTCATATCTTAGACGCATGCTTAGGGGTGTTTGACAGGTAGGACTCAGGCACCTGTCGCGGCCCATCGGTTTGCGTCGTGATAGCAAGCCTACATTAGTAGAGGTTTACATAATGGGCAAGCCTATGGTACTTTCTGCATGCATGTGACTTCTTTGTGAGAGTGAGGGATTACTTTGATATATGCGAGTCCTTAAAATATATTTGAGCATTTGATTCGAATGTGTGGATTCAACTTACTCTCTTGTTCTTGTTGTTAGGGCACATGATTTCCCAAGGATATGTGACGTTATTAGATTTCTCTATGATGTTAAGTGTTCAAGCTATGAATGCATTGTGATATTGAGTCGGTTTGTGGGGTTAGGATTGTTAGAAACATGTTGTCTTTTTGTTGAAAAAAGATTTGAAGTATGGCATAAAGTAAAGGGAAGTTCGAAGGCATATGTTAAAGTTTAATTGTTGCTATCAACCATAGTCATAGGTATGGTGTGCTTCAAATGTGCTAAAAGAGAATAAAAGTGCTCTAGGAATTGATGGTTGACTCGAGAATGAGCAACGTTAAAGTGTGGGGTAGTGATGTGAGGCCAAAATGCTATACTTTTAGCACATTACTCGCCCTATATTTTATTGGTCCAATGAGTTATTGTGCGACATTTGAGATAAATTATGTGTAGGAACATCGGAAGGAATCGTCAAATGAAATTGCACAAAAAGAGGATAAAAATACAAGAAAAGAGTACAAAAGCATCAATTATCCAAACTGTGCTACAAACCAGGCTTTGCAAGGTCTATAGCCAGGTTGACCGTGCTATATAGACCAGACTTTGGGAGGTCTATAGCCAGGTTGACCGCGCAATAGACTAGGCTTCGCGAGGTCTATAGCCAGGTTGACCGCGCTATAGACCAGGCTTCGCAAGGTTTCGACTGCGCTATAGACTAGGCTTCGCGAGATCTATAGCTAGGTTGACCGCGCTACAGACAAGACTTCGCGAAGTCTATAGCACGATAATTAAAAGTCGCGGGTTAAAAGACCCCAACCTGGATTTAGACTGAAGGACTTCAACCCTAACCTATAAATACTCCCTAAACATGTCAATACCAGGGGAAAGCCGTTTTTAGGGTAGATTCAACCAAAGGGGACATTTTTGGAGATGGGATTTCGACCTAAGGAGGCAAGAACACACTAAGAGCAAGGCAAAGAATTCTTCTATGAGTTTTTCACTTTCTTCTTCCTATTTTCATTATTGGTTATGAATTCTAGTATTGTAGTTTTGCATACTATTATGAATAGCTAATTTGTTATCTAGAGTTTTGATAGAAACTTTTGTAGGATAAATTCTTATTTTATTTTTATATAATTAAGCCATTGGATTTCTCTACTTGTTCAACTACGTGTTTGTTATTTTTGATTAAATGGCCATCAATTAATTGTGCCTATTTAGTGTGTATATTGCTCGAGAGATAGTACGTATTTAGGTGTGTTGAACAACATCACTCCTAACGTATGTGAGAAATCAATACGGAGGGTTTAAAGGTGGGATTAGAGATAACGAAACCTTGGTGCCGTCGTAGTGAGCGGTGGATTAGTGTCAGCTAGCGTAGTTCGAGAGAATACGTATAGTAAATTGCGGTAGTTGCTCGAGAGAGAGCGACGACACCCAAAGTACTCAAGATCGGTACAGAATACTTAGGCGAAATTATAGAAGGCGTAGCAGGAAGGATTCCGACAATTGTGAAATCATAACTCTAGACCTCCTTAGTCTTGTCTCAAATTTCATCCTTGTTAGTTGATAATTTTACTGATTTATAATAGTTGTTAGTTAATTTGTTAGTACTAACAAACATTACAATCTTTATAATTAGGAAATTGTTTGGACTTGTTTTTCTTAGCAATATTGAACTATTGTAGCTAAGCTTTAGTTCTCTGTGGGATTCGACTCCGGACTATATTTGTAACAACCGCTTAGTCCTTTTTATAAGGCATAGTTGGACGTGATCATGCGCCAAGTCAAAGTACCTCATATAAATTAAAAAATAAGGAATACTACTTTATGCTAACCTTTAATTAGTAATCTAATACCGCAAGATCATAATGAAACTCCAGTACGTTGCAAATTTTTACCAGTTGTTGAAGCAGCAACTGAAACAACAAAAGACGTTTCGTGCAAGTCAAGGAACACGTGTCTTGCAAATATTTTTGCATGCCAAGCGTATTTAATTTCTTAATGATATCCTGGTTGAATCCTTTTGGAATAGCATTTATACATTAAGAAATATATTTAGAAATATGAAAAGTCACTCAATGTTGAAAAACGAGAACAAGAAGATAAAATGTGGGCGATACATATGTCTTAATAAATGACTGGAGTTTTAGTTTTTCAAAGGGTAATCTTGAGGCGCTGATCTCTCCGTGGGCCAAATTAAACTACAAAGCCTTATCAAATTTCAAGGCGACTCCTTTCTTGTTCTTCTATTACTCTCATGTCCTGGTTTGTGGGTTTTGAATAGAATCACTTTGCCATTTTCTTTTTTTCTTTTGTTATAAAGCCAAGATGGAACTGACAAATAGATTTGGATGGTGCCTAGTTTGAATCAGTATGCCATTTATTTTCTTAACTAGAATCACAACTTTTAGTGCAGCAAAGGAACAAATGGAGACACTACCATGTTATAATTACATTATCCACCTAGAGAAGTTCCCCACATTTATTATAGAAAAGGCCGTGTGCAACCACGGCCTTTTCATGATGGCTCCCAACTGTTGGGAGCCATCTAGTAAAAGCTTTTCTCGTCCTCTGCGATTAGCAGATTCCACATCTGTTATGACTTCCATTTCACAGCCTCCAGGAAAGGATCATCTCGCCATTAAAGTTTATGGTGCAGGTATTCTTTCGCTTAAGGATGAGCTAGCCATCCAGGTATGGTTCTTGATTCTCTCCTAAACAAAAAGTACAAAAACCAATGTACAACATACCTAGAAAGAAATTGACTTTGAAATATATTGTACTTCTTCAATGTAGTCCCAAGTTAAGAGAATGCTGAGACTATCTGACAAGGATGAAGAAGATGTGAGAGATTTCCATAAGCTTCATCCAGAAGCTGAGGCCAAAGGATTTGGTAGATTGTTTCGATCGCCAACCTTATTTGAAGATATTGCCAAATCTCTTCTTCTTCGCTTTTGCCCGTAAGTTCATACATGCAACAAAATGTACAAAGGAGGGAAGAAGCTACAGAACCTTGTATAAATGCATGATCACCTTGAGTTCAAAATGGCTGTGCTTGTAAGATTATCAGAGTAGTTGATTTTAATTGGTTTTCAGATATACCCTTTATATATGTTGCCAAATTTTCTTAGGTGGAAGACATCATTGGATCTTTCAAAGGCTCTTTGTGATCTACAATATAAAAAATTCAAGTCCAAAAGAAAGAGAGCAAATATCTCAGCTTATGGAGACTTCCCAAATGCAGAAGAATTAGCAAGTTTTAGTGAGAAAGAGCTAAAAAGTAAAGGCAATTTTGGATATAGAGCAGGGGAGTTGGTTATGTTTGCAAAACAAGTTGTTGATGGGGAAATTAAGCTCAGTAAGTTTGAAAAAGACCACATTGGTACCAAATTAAGTTGGTCTGAGCTGAAAATAAATGGTGCTGGTCCATTTACTATCAACACTATCATGATGTGTGCCGGACACTATAATTATATTCCAGTTGACAGTGAAACGATACGTCATATGGATGAGGTAACTGAAATTTATAACTGGATCTGCTTGTTTCAATTTACTCGTCTCTTTTGATTTGTTAACTTATTGCATATTCTACTTTCAATCTAAATGAGCTTTAAATGGTTTGTCAATAAAAATTAATTGGGCCAAATGAATTTATTTAGTTTCATCTTATTAGCCCATATTTTTATTTTGTTAGTCATTATTTTCCGAGTCTGATGCATGAGCTTCATTTCAGTTTCATGGACTTAAAATGCACAAAAGAAAAAGAGGATTCATCAATCTCCAGATAAGGGACAAAATACAACAAATCTACAGATGTTATGATCCGTTTCAGTCTTTGGCTTACTGGTATGTTATGAATACTGCTCTCCCATTTTTTATAATAGGGCAAATCAAAGATATTCTAATATACTTGTTTTATTCTATTTATTTTGACTATATATTTAGGTTTCAACTTGTCAACTCTTATGAAAGAGAAGTTGGGAAGGTATTAAGCGAGTTATTACCATTAGAATATCATCGTGTCACTAGCAACTATGAAAAGGAGAAGAAGAAATTTTGAGGTAACATTGTGAAGTTAACGTATGTACTTCTCTATATCTAATTATTTATCGTTTTTATCTCTAGCACTGATTGTTTTTTGTTGGTGTTCTTTTCTAGCTAGGATGGAGGGTGCATTAAACTATGAAAAGAAGGGGAAGAAGAAGATATCGAACAGAGTCATGAGGAAAAAAGGGAGGAAGAATCAGAGAAGGATAAAAAGGGTTGAGAGAAGAAAATGTTTACTTGTGTTCATTCTTGTTTCTCTCTGTATTTCTAGGCTGTGTTTTTGTTGTAGTAGATACATTGTTAAAAGATGAATTGTATTCTCAAACATATTCTGCTACATACACCCTATAATTATATATATAAAATTACATCACGTATAACCCGGCTTTAATTATTCGTCATGCAAAGTGGAAGAATTCCAGGAGAATCAAAACCTTCTAATCAACAAAAACAACAACACGCATAAATTGCACCATATCAGAAGTGACACCGTTCCATGGAGCTCGCACATTTGAAGCGAAGATGCTATATAAGAATCACTCATTTTATTCAACAAACAAGCTTGAAGAAACAAAACTAAACTATGCAAAAAATGTACTAACTTTCGGAGTTACCACAGAGCAAGTAAAGTCAACCAAACTATTACCAGAGAAAGCAAATAACAGCAATTCAGAATACAAATTTGGACCTTTCTCGGATAAATAACCAATAAAATAAAACAAACAGAAAGGCCGCAGTGCAAACTGGATGAGTTTTATATAAGAGAATTTATAACCGTAGTATCCAGATTAAACTCTAGTATTCTGATTTGTTTGCGCACATGTCCATTAACTTTATGGTACCTACTACCTTTTCTTACAAGCACCAATATCATATACCTGTATGTCAAAGAGGCGGTGAAATATCTTAGTTTTATTTTCTTGTACTAAAATTGGGATTGGGAATTTTCGCAGTGTCATTTGTACTTTTTCTTTTTGTGCTAGTATTATCCAATGTTTTAAAAGGCTGAGGCGTGAGGCGAGGCGTTTTACTTCTAACGAGGCGAGAGGTAAGCCCTGAGATATGAGGCATAAGTCTCACAGATCTTTAAATTTTACTAATTATAAGAATTATAAGATAGTATAAAATAAAAAATAACTATAAAAATTATATTAAAATCACAAAATTTTAAAAAATAATCTATTTAAAATATTTATAAATTATAATTCAACTATGAATAATATGAAAAGTATGACATATATCATAATATGCAAATTAGGTGCAACGTCGTTACAACTCAAACATCAAAAGTAATATATTCGATACGAAATCTTATATGTATCTCTTAAGAAGTAATGAATCTTGAAAGAATTTCGATATTATAATTTGATATTTTTCTTAAAATACTCATTTTATTTAATATGCTTTCTATTTGAAAGAGAATCTATATAAAAACATAGTTCATAATTTAAATATGATTCTCTAGCATCATTTATTTTTAAGTTTCAACAAGTTAATAAAGTGACACATAATTTACCATACAATACCATGATAACTAATTTTTTTGTAAATAGTTACTAGCTAATACAGAGCTATTAATTGATAAGTATTGTATCTCGTAAACGTGAAAAAAAATATTTAAAAAATAATTATAAAAAATTATGGACTATTATATAGTAAAGACATAACAAAAGTTAATAAATAAATACCTTTTAAATGAAAGATTTATTTGAAATTTACTATCATAGCAGTCTCAGTGGATAACATGCAATAATTATTATTTTAATGACATAAAATACTCTCAACTCAATGATTTATGATTAAGAAAAATGTAATTTTGAATACTCAACAATTTATTAAGCAAATTTGAGAATTTACAAGGTTAGTTACATAGAATTGCATAAAGTTCTATTAGGCGAGCCCAGTACGCTGGCCGTTAGGCGTGTCCGGGGCATAAGCCCCGATGGCCGAGGCGTAAGTCTCACGGAACTAAGCCCCACACATAAGCCCAGGGGCGTTTTACGAGTGCTCCGCCTCGGGGCGAGCCCCGGGCGAGTCTCAATTCTGCCTTTTAATACAGAGGATACAACAACAACAACAACAAACCCAGCTTAATCTCATACGTGGGGTCTAGAAGGTAGTGTGTTCGCAGCCTTACTCCTACCCTATAAAGACAGAGAGGTTGTTTCCTATAGAGCCTCGGAAATAGTCTTACTATAGAGTTTCGTTGAAGTACTTTAATTGAAAGTTCTAGGGATATGATCACCTCGGTCGCTTCCTGATTCATCTTGTAAGGCATAATTTCTAAAGTCATTTTATTGGCATGAGACTAGTAATGCTTCCATGCTAGGCAAAACTAGAAGTATTATATCAATGGAGGAAATAACCAAGTGGAAAACAAGACAGGATCGTTCTCTACAATCACACTGGAACAATTGAAGGGATGTGTGGTAGTTTGGTAGTGCGTCTGTTATGTTTCCAGAACCGTTGTAGTTGTTTTTTCAAAATTAGGTATCACTTTTAAACACCCTCCCACCCCCCACCCCCATCCCCCACACGCAAACAAATCCATTCTCCCGAATCTCCCAAAAAGAAAGAAAAAGAAAAAAGCTAGCCTTGTGGCCAATCTTCGGAGTTATTATGCCATTGTTGAACTTTGAGAAGGTGCAAGCCCCTGGTCTTGACTCGTTAGCCCCATGCATACCACTTGAAGTGTAGATAGACATGACTAAGGGACTTAGCAAACTTAGCTAGAACACAAACTTCTTTATAATAGCCATCCTTTTTACTATATCGGTTAATTAGTAGAATGTTCGTAAGAAACGAGACTGTTACAATATTTGGCAGACTAAAGGCGGGCCGGACCACTACTAACCCGTTTTTAAGATAAGCACGTATTAGAAATAGCTGTTGCATCAATGTTGTTTTTGAATTAATTGGAGCCATGTATATGTTTCGAGTTTCAGGTTGAGCCAACTTGTGCCTAGCTAGTCAAGCTCAACTGAGCTAGGTTTCAGATCGAGTGAAGTTTTGTGTCTAACTTTGTTGGACCAAATCAGATAATGTGTAACATTCCAAGTTGAAACGTGGATTCAGCTTAGTGAAAATATACTACCCGTTTGATATGTTTAGGTTCACTCCATTCGTAATAACATTATCATGACACGAAAAAGAAAAAAAATAAATGCTAAATTTCCATTAAAACAAAGGAATTAAATACAATCAGTACGAATATAGCCATTGAATACAAAATCCCTAATTGCAAACCCATTAAATTCAAACCCATAAGCTAAAACCCCTATAATCTACCATTTTCTAATTAACCAATTATTTAGCTGAGCTTCCCTTCTGCATAAATTTCTCCTTAATCCATTTGAATCCAGAAGAGGTTCCGCTCTTCACCTTGCTTGCACCGACCACAGCCGCCGCCTTAGCCTTTACTGCTCCAACAGCAGCTGCCGCCTTTGCCTTGTCAGCTCCCACCGCAGCCGCCGATTTTGCCTTGTCGTACCCCGCCGACGCCACCGCCGTCACTTTTTCCATATTTTTGTTGCTGCTTTTGCTGCGCCCCCATTTTTCCGTCCAACTGGAACTGGATTGATTTTCGTTCTTCATTACAAAAAAATTTGGGAGGAGATAAGAGAGTACCAGAGAAAGGTGACGGGAACTTTAGGGCGTCGAAGGCTTGAAGCAGATGTTTTCATTAACCCGATAAAAAGCCCAATTCTCAATTGATTGGGTCACAGTTTTATCTTTGATTGCAGAAATAGCCATTTTAGGACCATTATTTAAAGAATAGTCAATATTTACATAGTATTTAAAGTTTTGGCATCTCACAATCAAACTTCAGACTTCGGGTTTGAAAGTTGCAAACTTCACCTGAAGTTAGTTCTGACGGATTCTAAACTAGCGTTTGGCCATAAATCCCAAATTTATTTTGAAAATTTTGATTTGGGTAAAGTTTGGTTTGAAGATGAAAGTGCGTTTGGACATACGTTTTCAAAACATATTTTTCAACTTTATTTTGAAAAAATATGTATATAATTCCCAAGTTTTGGGATTTTGGCCCAAAATCAGGGGATTTGAAATTTGGGATTTGGGATTTGGCCAAAATATGAGCAAAATTTATGGCCAAACATGAGTTTTGAAAATAAATCCCAAATTTATTTTGGAAAAACTCATGGCCAAACGGGGCCTAACTTTAAGGTCAAATTTCGTTTTGATAGTTCTAACTTTAAACCTCTCGATATGAAATTAGGCTTAGGCAATTTTGCTAAAAACTTGTCCGAAGAGGAGCCAATAGGGCCTGAAATTTGCGAACTCGGGCTAGGGTTAAACCTTAAATAATTTTTAAAAATTAATTATTGTTATAAATACAATTATATTTATGGTGAATGTCTATAAATAGAGGGTTCTATTCTATTGTAATTCATCCTAAATATCAATAAGAATTCTCTCTCCCTACTTTTCTCTGCAATACTACTCTTTTTCTTTTATTGTTTTATAACACGTTATCAGCACGAGACTCTAATCAATTGAGT